TACTCAATCATAATTGCAAACAATTGACCGCAAAATTATGGTTAATCCTATTTGGCTCCTTCATAAATTATAAGGACACTTGATCTTAGCCAAAAGGCCGAGAAAGGACACAACTTTAAAGAAAAGACACTTTAAGAGTATTAGTTTTTTTTTTTCCTTTTTATCTAGTTTTAAATAAGATATTTAAATTATTTAGAAGGACATTTTAGTAATCTAACTTTTAACTTTTGAGGTTCATACTTTTATAATAAATAGTTTTAGTGTACGCGTGTTGCGCGTGTTCCCCATCTCAATAAGTAATCTTTTTGTAAAAAAATTATATATATTTTTTTAAAATTGTACTTGAGTTATAAAATAAAGTGTAAGCATAAAATTGATAAACACTAATCATAAACTCAATAAAGGAAAAACTTTGTTCATAAAAGTCTTATGTCATTCACCTTAAATGATGTCCCATTTATAATTTTATCAGTTCACAAGTTCTTTTGTTTCTTTTTTAGTTTCTTAAAAAACACATAGGCCTTAATGATTTTAGATTTTTCTGAAATTTTCTTCAAATTATATTCTCAAGTTCATTCGAAAAGACATAATAAGGTATAGACTTTTGTTACGATTCTTTAAAGATTCGTCAAATAATATAAATTAAAAATTTGAGTCTTATGTTTTCTCATTTATCTCCCTTCAAAGGTTTTAATATTATTCATTTACTGAGATTTTAGGTGTTGAAATAAAAAAAATATATATAATTTCATAACTTTGTCGAAACGTGCATCGACAAGGAAATCATTACTAAAACATGAAAATTAAATAGGACAAACAGGTTACTATGAAAAGCTATTGAATTCATTGAGTGTGTGCATACATATTAAGTTAGACATTTTTTATATATTATTCATTTTAAAGTCTTAAATATTTGGACTTTTAACATAGTTCAAATAAAAAATAATTTAGTAAGTAAATTTTAATTATTTTTAAAGTCCTAAATATTAGTAAAATATTTATATTATATTTTTATTCAATATGAAATTTACTTTTCAAGGTAAAACAATTCAATCAATATTTCGTATAGAGATTGCGTGCTTTTATAACATTGATTTAGGCTTGTATGATTTTGTATGATTAAATATGGTATCAAAATATTTTTTTTTGGGTGCTAAATCGAGTTGGATTAATTATTTTGTATGACTGAAAGGAGAATTTTACAAATAATTATTTAATTATTTTGAATTGAAATAATTTTAATTTAGATGTTATTGTATTAAATTAAAAAATTTTATGTCCCCATATTACAATTTTATTAGAAATCATTGAAGTCACCGTATTAGTTCTTATCTTGATAAGACTGCACAAAGAAGTTATTTTAGATTAGTACAAATTATAAAAGGTAAAAGATTTATTAATTTTAAATTTACCTAGTTTGATAAGGAAATATTTAATATGCAAAATTTTAATTGATTTTTTAAAGTTCTAAATATTAGGAAAATAATTTAAATTACAAGTTTGTCAGTTGTATAGGCTGTTATTAAAGGATAAAAAAAGCGAACACTATTTTGCTAAGGGTCTTTGTGTTTTTAATATAATATAGATACTAGTCTTTCGACACACGCGTTGCGCGTGTACCGCAACTCAATGAATGTAATTTTTTTTTCAAAAAAAGGCATAAATATTATACTTTTTAAGAATGTATTTGAGACAAAAAATAAAAGGTAGTGACAAAAGTACAAGTAAAGAAAATGATGATTGTTGAATCTATTTAACTAATTCAATAAATAAAGAACTCCGGTCCAGTCCTATATTTTGTTCCATTTCTTAAGCTTTATAATTATAAACCGCGAAGATCAAAATATACCTCTGTACTTTCGCAAATGGTCTAAGAATACCCCTCGTTATACAATTAGGTTATCTACACCCTGCGGTCATACTTTGGATTCAAATATATCCCTCATTAAACGGATGGACACATGTCATCGTCATGTTGGTCAATTCTAAATATCTCTTAATTAATTAAAAATACTCATTACCCATACCCGAAAAATAATTTTTTAAAGCAATTTTTTTTTTTTGTAAAAACTGAAAAAAACTGGATTTGTTTTTACTAAAAACTGAAAAAAACGAAAATATTTGTTTTTCCAAGTTTTACAAAAAATCTGCTTTAAAAGAACTGAAAAATATTTTCTAAAACAATACTTTTGTAAAAACTGGAAAAAACTGAAAAATACTTTTCTAAAGCAATAAAAAACTGGAAAAAACTGATTTTTTTAACTAAAAATTGAAAAAAAGAAAATATTTATTTTTTCAGTTTTTACAAAAATATTGCTTTAGAAAATTGCTTTTCAGTTTTTATTTTTTAGTTTTTACAAAAACAATTGCTTTAGAAATTATTTTTCAGTTTTTTTTAAAGCAATATTTTTCTAAAAACTGGAATAAACTATTTTCGATTTTTAGTTAAAAATATTCAGTTTTTTCCCGTTTTTAATTGCTTTAAAAAATTATTTTTCAGTTTTTTTTCAGTTTTTACAAAAATATTATTTTAGAAAATATTTTTCAGTTTTTTTTCAGTTTTTACAAAAATATTATTTTAGAAAATATTTTTCAGTTTTTTTTTAAAGCAGTTTTTTTTTGTAAATACTGGAAAAAAAATATTTTTATTTTTTTATTTTTTAGTAAAAACAAATTCAGTTTTTTTCCAGTTTGTACAAAAAAATATTGCTTTAGAAAATTGCTTTTCGGGTATGGGTAATGAGTCTTTTTAATTAATTAGGAGATATTTAGAATTGACCAATAACGATGACACGTGTCCCTCCATTTAAATGAGGGATATATTTGAACCCAAAGTATGACTGCATGGGTATAGATAATCCAATAATATAGCGAAGGGTATTCTTATACTATTTTCAAAAATACCGGGGTATATTTGGACCTTTGCCGAATTATAAAAGTAAGAATTATTTGATAATTGATAACGATATACACATACTATTAATCAAGGTGCTTGATTCGACCGTTACCTTAAAAAACATGAGAGTTGGACATGTCGTTCTAGAGTTTGTAACTTGTTCATATACTTTTTTTAAAAAAAATTGTGTATTTGCATTCCTTTACATATTTAATACTAATGATTATTTTGATATCTTTTTCCTTCACGTGAAGAAATGCATGAAAATAATCATACAAAGATCATACAATTTTTTTTTAATCTTCAAAATAGACCAAGAAAATAAATTTATTAAACAAGAAACTAATGTGGATGTAATTTATGGATACTAACTAAATAAGCATATGCAAGGGAAAAACCAAAATTATACTTCCGCGGATACCAAATAATGTAAGTTACTTTCATTTAACACACATAAAAAGTAGCCAATGCTCATAAACAAAATTAATTACAGACATGCAAAAAAAAAAAAAAAAAAAAAAAGAATACACTTGTATCTTTTTAACCACATACAATGCCAAAATAATCCAACAAATCAATAAGCCACAACATATAGATAATATATGTGCCGAAGATAAAATAAGANATGAAAAAAAAAAAAAAAAAATTACACTTGTATCTTTTTTAACCACATACAATGCCAAAATAATCCAACAAATCAATAAGCCACAACATATAGATAATATATGTGCCGAAGATAAAATAAGAAAGTCACGACAAGGCTGAATAAAAGAAAATAAATAGTGTTTCATTCATACTCACTATAAGAATTGACAGTGTAGTAAAAAAAAAAATTAAACGCGATTATGTAAAAAAATCATGTGGCAGTATGAGCATGATTATGAAAATAATTAATTGCTTTTGTAAATCAGGTTGATTGTTGGAATCAAAATATTTAAATAGATTTGCCTTTCTTTTTAAAGCCAAATTAATAACCCAAGAAGTATATTATAGAATATTTAGAGAATTCCTTTATACTCCAAAATTATTTCAAGGAATCCGTACCGATTATTTTTTAACATATGCCATTAGTTTCAATCATCGCCCTCTCGTGCTAGTGATGAGAAAAGGAAAAGAAGATTATTCTTGGGTTAAAATGGACCACAAATAATACAAATTTAAAATAGTGCAAGAAAATGTTGAAAGGGGTAGCAAATTAGCCATCACTTCTCTTCAACGCTAGTTATTGAAGTCATTTGGAAAGGTAGTAATTAAACAAAGACTACCAAAATGTTTTATCAGGAAGCATTATTGAAGATTTGCAATGCCAATGCCACCAATTAATTATTTGGAGTCAGGTAAGGAAGCCAAAAAATATACTCTAGATTTCATTCCTTTAAATTTTACAAGAAGCGTACCAAGGGATAATTTATGAAAGGTTAGTTACAAAAGAAGGGGTACAATACTTGTAGTCACCCTTTGAAAGAACACAACTTTTAGAGGAGTCACTTCAAATTAGATTTTTATTCTTTTATTTAAATGATATTTAAATATTATTATTCAATACCTAAATATGTTATTTAGAAGGATATTTTAGTAATTTAACTTTTAACTTTTGGGATTCCACTTTTATAATAATATAGATATAGATAGATAATCTCATATATGTATATCATGTATGTGAGTATGTATTTTGGGCTGGTATTTTGATATTCTTTTTCTAAATACTGAATATCATAAATATAAAAAATAAAAAAAAAATAAAAAAAATTCTATTTTGGTTAAGATAATTGGGTAAATATTAAATTATGCTATTCCGTATTCGAGGAAATTATCATAATGGTCCTTAATATATTGGGGTTGCTTTATTTTGGTCCTTCATATATTTCTCTTGACAGATATAGTCTTTAATGTATATAACAGGGTGATACATTTGGTCTGAAGCCCTAAATCTAACAGATTTTCCAGTAAATGGCTGTTAAGTTTAACAGTTGACTCATGTGCAACTCACGTGAGTTTGGTAAGAACCTGAAAAAGTTTTCTCCCCATTAAAAAGCCTTCTTAAAACTCTTTTCTCTTTCTCTCAAAATCACATGGAATATTTTCTCATCTCTCTTAAAAAAAGTCTAATGAGGAACAACTTCTCTCTTTTCTTAATTTTTTTCTCTTCTCTTAGTTTCAGCCAGCAAGGAAGATAAAAAGAGCAACTATCGTACTTTTGTCACTGTCTCTTTGGGCCGTTTCAGACGCTTTAGATTTATCATATGCAGATTTCACCAATATTCTAAATTAAAAGAGATAATCATTCATAAAAGGGACTAAAAATGGAGGTTGTTGCATCTAACACAATTTCATTCACGAAAACTGACAAAAAGCTCTGATAAGAGTGGAGATTTAATTTGAACGTAATCTGAGCAAACCAGAAATTCCTTCAGCTGAAGAGAGAAAGGAAGAAAGAAAAGGAGTTAGAACCAGTCAATAAGACCCATATTTAGCTTTTGTTATAATTCTTAGTTCTGTGAGAAAAGACAATTTCTTTTTCTTGTTTGCAAGTGTACAATGGTGAAAAACACATCTGTAAATTAATCTATGTTGTACTCAAAGAAAGAAACGGTGAAAGAATAGAAAGAAACAGTAAAAGAGCACAAAGAGGATTCGATATGACTTCGTATAGAAGGAGGAAACTTGAGATTGATATTGTATTAAAAAATTACAATTTGATTAAAAAGCAAGTTAAAAGTGAGAAACACAGAGTAGACAGAGAAGAACGGAAGTGTGCGTGTGAGGATTGAGTGGGAAAAGAGAGCACCTGAAGACATCTACGGTGACGAGAGGAAGATATGCGTGGGTTTGGGTTAATTCTTCTTTTCCGAACACACGTGAAATGTTAAACTAAACAGCTTTTATTGGAAATTATGTTAGATTTAGGGTTTTAGATCAAATATGTCACCTTTTTACATACATTAAGGACTATATTTGTTAAAGGAGATATATCAAGGACCAAAATAAAGCATCCCCAACACATTAAGGACCATTTTGATCATTTCCTCTCCGTATTCCAACAAACCCTGTTTTCTTCTTTCATCTCACCTAGGCATCCCTCGATTCATCAATGCATAGACATAGTCCGTGTACATTGTCGTTCCATGGAAACTGAATTGCAGAGGTAAAATAAGAAGAAGCCAGCAAAAACCCAAGTTGTAATCTCCGAATCGGATGCAGCTGTTTCATCTTCCAGTGAAAGTCAATCAAAGGAAATCCTCAGTTTGAGCTTGGCGTCTCTGAAGATTTTTTTTTGATAAGGTAAACTCCAATCTTTTCCAACCTAATCGCATGGAAAGTATAGTTTTGAGTTTGCTTGATGAAACGAATTGGGAAGAGATATTGTGGTAAGTAGGCTGCTGTAATTAGAGACCCAATTAAGGAAAAACGTGTTTGGTTGAGTACCTTTAGCATTGCTCAGGAGGCTTATTTGGTCAAACATTGTGAATTTGCTGCACAACTAGACATCAAGATTGTAGTCAATCCCCTGCTTCTCCCCAACTCATGCATGAGAAAAGACCCTTACTTGGAGTTGAATGGCAAAACATGGGGAGATATCGTTCTGCCAGATTGAGAAAAAAATGCAAGCATTCTTGGGGTACTCTTGAATTTGTTAAAGAGGCATTCAAAGGCTTTAACTCTAACACGCACGAATATGAGGAATTAGGTATGATCAAGCAAGGGAAAGAATCCTTAATTCATGTAGAATCTTCTAAAGAAACCTCATGTTTAATGGCTAATGTCCATAGCACAAAATCATCTGATCATTGTGATATGGTAGCAAGTGATCGTAAAGCCAGGAGAAGCTTACTTGGAGTCCGCAAGCAGAAAAATGGGAGGTATGGTGCTGTGATTACGGACCCAATTAGGCATAAGAAAGTATGGTTGGCCACCTTTGATACTGCTCAAGAGGCTTCCAAGGCTTATTTGGTGAAGCAATGTGAATTTGCACGACTAGCCGAGGTTAATGGCAAAAGACACTTAAGCAAAGTCCAAAGGCTAAAATCAGGAAGGTGTCGTACTTTGCTGAGAGACCCTATTAAGAAAAAGGATGTTTTTTTGGGAAACTTTGATACTGCTGAAGATGCTTCCAAGGTTGATTTCTCTAAGAAGGGCAAGGTAGAGAAACTAGTAATGATTAAAGAAGGGAGCATATCGATAACATGTGAAGAATCTGAGCTTGAATCATCTGCTGTAGCCACACCTGCAGTGACTGGTAATCAGAGTTTGAATCAAACTGATGGGATTAGTAATGAAAGAAGCACTTCCTTTGTAAAAAGACCCTTACTTGGAGTTGAATGGCAAAATATGGGAAGATATAACAAAAAGAAAAGATTGGATGCACTTGAATCTGTTGAAGAGCCCGCCAAAGGCTTTTGCTCGAACATGCAAGAAACAGAGAAATTAGTAAAGGTCAAGCAAGGGAAAGGACCCGTAATTCATGAAAAATCTTCTAGAGAGACCACGTGTTCAATGGATAACGTTCAAGGTGCAAAATTGTCTGATGGGTGTGATACTCCAGGAGACAATCCTGATGCCAGGAGAAGCATAATTGGAGTCCGAAGGCAAAAGAATGGGAGGTATGGCGCTGTGATTACAGATCCAATCAGGCATAAGAAGGTATGGATCGGCACTTTTGACACTGTTGAAGAAGCTTCACAAGCTTATTTCTCCAAGAAGTGTGAGTTCGAGAAATTAATCCAGAGTAAACAAGGGAACAAACCAAAGAGTTATGAACAACTTCAGCCTGAATCATCCGATGAGTGTAATACTGTAACAAGCAATCCTAAAGCCAAGAGAAGCTTACTTGGAGTCCGAAGGCAAAAGAATGGGAGGTATGGTGTTGAACCGGAATCATTTAGGGGAGCATTATCTCCTCTGGCTAATGATCAGTCCTTAAATACTGTTGGTTTAAGTAGAAGTGGAAGAAGCAATTCTCCCGAAACATCACACTTCATTGGGGTTCGCAAGAGAAATTCTGGGAATTATGCTTCCGAGATTAGAAACCCCATTAGTAAGAAAAGAATTTGGTTAGGGACTTACGGTACTGCTGAAGAGGCTTCCCAGGCTTATCAATCTAAGAAGCTCGAGTTTCAGAAACTACTCAAGGTGAAGCAGCAGTGCAATAAGCAAATATCTCGTGCAAGGGAGATTCAGGATGGGAAAAGGAAATTAGTCAATGTCAAGCTAGGACATGAAACTGTAAATCATGAAGAATTTCAGTTCGAATCAGCTGGTGGAGCCTCATCCTTAGAAATTGATGTTCCAATATCAAATTTATCTGATGGAGGAAGTGACCAGGGGATTGATTTTCACGAAATAAGCCACTCCATGGGGGTTCAAAAGAGAAAATCAGGAAAATATACTTATGAAATTACAAATCGCATTAGTATGACAAAAATGTCGTTGGGGTCTGTAAGCCCTACTGAAGAAGCTTTCCATGTTGAGCAGTCAAAGAAATTCGAATTTCAGAGCTCAAAGAATGTCGAGCTGCAAAGCAATCCAACTGATTCTAGTGCAGGTGAGAAGCAAGCAGGTCAAGAGGATGAAGATTTGTGGATGGGCCGATGGGTCCAACTTCCAGGTGATAGGGCAGTCAAATTTTCACTCCAACTAGGCTTACCGATCATTGATAACTATGGATCTCTTTTAGGTGAGTTTAGTGGTCTGGACGATCTCAGTATTTGTTCAACTGAGGATTACAATGAAACATAACTATGTTTTTCCTAGCTTATAGTTTGTAAATTTCTAAATAGCAAGAAGATTTTTGGGTAGTATACAGTTTTAGGACTTTGTAGAAGGTAGATAGTAGTAATATGCAAGCTTCTTACAATTGTTGGTCTCAGTCAGTTGGATACTGACACATGATATATGTGCCTATTAGTAAATGAGTAGCCCTGCTATCTTCTTCTCTATGTTAGTTTCGGCTTTTTTTGGTGAAATTTCTTATAGTTCTCCAATTAGTTATTTTCATCATGATGCCTTCGGTGAGGCTACTTTGAAAAATTGGACATTGAAAAGTTCATCATGTCTGCTTACTTTTGACTACAGAGAATGGTATAACAAATGCAGGCAAAGACAATATCTCATATAAATTTTAGTTCTGAAGTAAAATGTTAGACTTGTTTTGCACAATAGTCATACAATACAAAATTGCTTATCAGTATGTAATTGTTGCCTTAGTGTCCTTCAATGATAGAGAATAAGAGAAAGAGGAAGAACAGAGTGAAATTGAATCAAAGACTTAAAGGAGGCCCAAAATAAAGAAATAATAAAAGAAGGCATAAAGTAATCAGATTTGTTCACCGAAGGCCATAAATGGAACAAAAAATCAGCTTCTTTACTTTCTTAATGTAGCCCATTATAGTGCCGAAAGAATGTCATATATTGTAAATTAGTCTTAAGTTATAAACCAATTATTGCCCTGCAACATAGCAGGTCGTATTTGTACTCCATTGTATTGAGCTCAAATCCAGTAACTGTCTGATCACTATTGTTCCATTGATTCTCTGTTCATTTTTCCCCTTAAAACCCATCTTCGAACAACTCTTGCATTAATGTTTCAGCGGGATGGGTTTAAGCCTGATACATATTTCCATGCTTATTGTGTGTGTGCCATTTTATTTCTTCTTCAAAGCCCGTCCATCTGAGGACTTCTTGATTCAAAAGATTATAATAGACACCTTCAGAAGGCAAGAGGGAGACAATCAATGGGAGCAGCAATAACAACAACACCATCGTAACCACATCCAACACCACCTTGCCGACTACACCTTAGCGTTTGGATCGTCTCGAGACTAGGATGACGAAGATACAGAAGATGTAGGCACAAATGTGCATAATAAGTTGTGTCTGGTGGAGCTTGAGCATGCAATGTTCGATATATTGAGGCAATTGGTGCTTAGTTAAGGGACAAATATGGAGCAATTCCAGGTCCCCACTTAATAGGCTATTTGGAGATGCACTGGTTGTTGCTCAGGAGCCAGCAGCATGCAGTGGAACGGATAACTGGCCGGTAGAACATGTTGTTTCTCCTCCTTACGAATAAGATTTTCTCCTCTTTAATTATGTGGAACCCTGCCAACATTCAATTGTTAAGAATTTAAACTGAAGGATTTCTGTGTTAATTTTGCAGTGTATTGATTATGTCAGTCATACTTTTCCTGTAATAACACAATGCTTTAAGAATAACATTAGTCCTCTTTGCACTTTCTGTGTTAGTGTCATTTTTCTGGCGTAGTTGGAAGCAGCGGAAAAGTATTCTTCATTCATGGCTTTGATTTCTCAGTTTCTACTTCTTCCTTTAATATATGATGGTGCTGGGTAAAAGGATGTTTGTCGATGCAAACAAATTAGTGTGTTTGATATGGATATTGATAGTTGATGTTGGCTGCTTTTGTTGCTATGAGCTTATTTCTTGAGTATTTGTATGACTATGCTTCCATCGACCACTTCCTGTAGCTGGCCTGTAAAGAAGTGATCAATTTATCAGTCCACCTATAAAAAGTGTCAATGATTTGTTCTTCTTGTAGCTTTGTACTTGGCCATCATCTGTTTCTTGCTTACCTTTTGAAATGCTTGGAGCTTTTAAAGCCATTCCTCTGGTGCTCCTGAATGAGAGTCATCCTAAAGAATGCCAATGCATATGTTTTTTGCTGCTTGCAACTTCCTTACTTTTAGCTGCTCATGGGTAATATTTTGAACTTTGCATAACAGAGAGGTTCAGTCAAGAGGAGGGAGTAGGAGAAGAAGGGTGCTGTTAATAAGATTCAGAATGAAGTATGAAAAGTCTTGTATTCGATGTTGGCTACTTACATATGTACGTATACAGCTTTTGAGTGGGAACAAGATTGCCATTGTATCAGCTATATTCATGAAAAATATTATGAGAAAGGTAAGGCATATCTGATTGAAGATTACACTAATATATGTTCCTTAGCTCTATTATGCCCGCAAGTAGGGGGTGTCTCAACAACACCTAACTTGGTAAGTTGTCGCTGGTAATGAGTCTTGGGCAAAACTCGGTGAGAACATTTGCTATCTGGTCTGCGGTGTAGACATGCATGACATGAAGGCAATGTTTTTGCCCTTGTTTACGTGTAAAATCAAAATCAATGGCAATATGCTTCATGTGGCTGTGAAAGACTGTTTCCTATGTTGTCACAGTAGACTGTAGGAGGTGTCAAGAGGGTCACACGAAATTCAGATAGGAGATCTTGAATCCAATTGGATTCTGCTACCGCGCCAACAACAGCACGATAATTCAGCCTCAGTGGATGATCGCACTGGATCGATCAGTAATATCGCCTGCCCTATCTGCATCAGGGTATACATGATGTGTATTAGGAGAATTACGATGAAGAAGCATGCTGTGAAGCATTGTGTGCTTGAGATGTTCGAGGAGACGCTTCATTGCTTGCCAGTGGATGGTGGAAGGTTTGTTCATGAATTATGAGAGTGTTGACAGCAACTGTTATCTGAGCGTGTAAAGGAGAGCTACGGAAGCTTTCTGATTGCTGCACGGTATTGTTTCTGATAACCATCATTGGAGGAGAAGAGAATGGTATTTTAGTGGCTGAAGTTTGTGTGTCTTCCATGAATTAGCAATGAAGATGCAGCAGTTAAGAAAAAAAGGATCGAATGGAGTTTACTCTTTTGAGTTTTGGAGGAGCTATAATTCCATATAAGATTCAAAATGAAGTATGAAAAGGCTTGTACAATGTTGACTAATGATGTGTATCCATACAGCTTTTGAGTGGGAACAAGATGCCATAGTATCAGCTATATTCATGAAGAATGCTATGTTCTTTTCTAACTAGAAGCAGGATGCTATAACTGACTCCATTGAGTCCGGTATGAACAATCCACCCTTTTCTCGATTATTGCTGATGTAATCATGAAAAGCTATTTTTTTTGGACCAAATAAACTTTGAGAAAATGTAAGGTAATATCTGATTGAAGATTACACTGATATATGTTCCATATTAGCTCTATCAGGTGTTAGTGAATTGAAGATTACACTGATATATGTTCCATATTAGCTCTATCAGGTGTTGGTGAATGAAAGGAGTTTTTTTGGAAAGAAGTATTGGGGAGAAGTGATTAGACAGGACATGACATATCTCCAGCTTACCGGAATATGACCCTGGATAGGAAGATATGGAGGTCGAAGATTAGGGTAGAGGGTTAGTAGGCCGTCGAGTTTAGGACTCTGTATCTGCTACGTTTGTTTTTTTCATCAAAGATTTCTTACTGGGAACCACAGGATAGACTTATCAACACTTTTTACTGTCTAATAGTAGTGGATATGTCCAATAAGCTTATTGCTGATGCAAATTGTAGCAACTTTTCTTTACGTTCTTCACTATCCACATAAAAATATTAACCTTAACTTTAAAGTATGTAAATCACCAGAAAGATTTCAGAAAATCTGCTTTATCAGACATCTTTCTCTCATCTGTGTTTTGATTCCAGGCCCTTAGCTTTTTCTTTTATTATCATTCAAATGACCTGCATCGTATTCGTCAATGTGAGAACATATGCTGTGTTTACCTGAGATTGTTAGTTTAGCTGATTTCCTATTGAGCATGATGGTTAATTAGTTGAATTCTTGGAACTGAGATACGCTGGTGCGCTAGTGTATGCTTGAACACACAATTGTTTGATTCCATGCTGCTTTAGACCCTGTATGCATTTTTCTTCTCATGCTTTAATCTGATGCTTACGTTTCCTAAAATGATTGCATGTGGTGCCAAATCCAGTCTGCTATCTATTTGCGCACACTAAATTTTTTTGTTGCAGTTTAACAGTCCTTCAGAACCATGCTTTCTCAACTCAATAGATATAATTTAAAGAAGAGCAACTGACATTAATTACACCACTTGAAGATAATTTAAGAGTTAATAAACATGAAGGAGTTAAGCAGTTTGCAGATATAAAGAAACAACTGTCGAGATAACTAGTGAGGTTTCTGGGTATTCTAATATCATCAATGTTGTGAGGTCTTTGAATCTGAAAGATCAAGACCTGTAACCGAGAAAGCTCTCCGAATACCATTCTCATCTTTGTGCTCCGCAAAAGGAGAAGGTTTGCATGGATTGACATGTGTTTAACATGAAACAACCTATCACTTTTAATCATCATAGATGTTGAACTTTTGATTAGTCGTTGAGTATATTCATTTTAGCAGATTAACTGATAAGTAATTTTTCTGCCTGCAGTCTGAGCGGATCCAAAAGGTTTTGGATCGTGTAAATTAGCTGCATTCTTTGTGCGGTGTGCTAAGGGTTGGTTTTTGGAAAAACTGGGAGTGATGTGCATCCAATTGCATTAAACAAGCCCGAGACAGTCCACTAACATCAGCAAAACCAGCCATACTGAAGACCGGAAGAAAAGTCCGATATCAGAAGGTATTGTTTACCTTGGTTTTTTGTTAGCCTTTTCTTTTCCCCTATGTTAATGTCGTTACTAATGCAGCTAAAAGATGTAGCTGGAATGCTGTTTGTGCTGTGGACTTAGATGGATACTATCAGAACCAATTGCTCTTGCATTGGAGGTTATTCAACAGGTTTGCAAACATTTACCTGTCTTGTAATTTCTCCGCCTAGCTGTCTCGTCTTCTGTCCTCATTATCGTTGTTATTGCTCTTGACTGAGTCAATGGCAACAAGGTGAATTATTAAGTGCATAGAGCCGTTATGCCTCATAATGCAATTCTAATGAAACAAGCGAGGCAAAGAGTTATTCTACTTATGTATTGGATTGATTTCCACAATTGCCTGTGCCTAAATGTATCCATTTTTCAGTCTTCTTGAATTTGAAACTGATCATATTACTCATGAAGACTTCAGCAACAAGAAAATTGATATGTTTGAAGAGACGCCTCTTCTTGTATGCGGGATTGATCGAGCTAAGGTTAGTTGTGTTAAATCGCCTGATATTGATAGACTTGGATGCTAGTTTGTAGAAAGGTGATGATAAATTATGCAGTTTGAAAGACTATGTTTTTCCACATTACATTATTATTCGTGCTTTGATGAATTATGTTATTTCACATAATACTTTCTCCATTCCAAAAAGAATCTCCTTAATAGACCGTTAAAATAGAATGTCACTTTTCTAAATCGGGAAACAGTTTAAACTTCTCGTTTACCATTAATAACAAACTTTTATAGCCACGCAAATATTATGGCATATTTTAGACCATAAGTTTTAAATTTTTTATAGCCATACAAATATTACTGTAGCATATTTAAGACCACAGTTTTCAAGAGTCTTTTTCTGTTTTTTCCTTATAAAAAAAAACTTCATTCCTTTATTAAATTCCATGCGCACTCAAGGTATTTTTTTCTCTTAAATTCTGTGCATGGTCAAACTACGCCATATAAATGGAAACAAGGCGAGCAATTAATTACCTTAACTTTCTTTTTTCCAGATCAAATTTACAAACAACATTAAGTTGAAAGTGGATGAGACTTCTATATGTAGGAACGAAGATGGTGCTGATGTAAAGGAGGGAGACATGGAGTGTATGCAGAGGCAAAGTCAGAATATAAAGCTTATAAGTTAGAATTTTAACCCTTTCAATTTATTGAGTTCTGAATTAATAATTTGTACATATTAAATGGATTTCTTAAGACAAATACAAAGTTTGGACTAAAGTTACTGAGTTAGGCTGAACTCGTACTTTGATCTCTAGCTCTGCCCCTAGTATATGTTATTGCTTTTAGGTTGAGACTTATTTTATCTCACTTATAAATATATACTTATTTTAAGGACGAGTGTTACTATTTGAAATGATTGTGCGAGACACGTTAATATATATATATGATTTGGTTGTATAGGTCAAAAATTATATCTTGTTGTTAAAATTATCTATGATCACCTTACTATCTTGTTGTCTTTATTCTGTTTTTATATGGCTTTTGGTGCTGTCCCTTATCTATATTTTCACTAATGTGGTGCTTATACTTTCCTGAGCCGAGGGTCTATTGGAAACAACTTTTCTATCCTCACAAGGTAGGGGTAAGATCTGTGTATACACTACCCTCCCCAGACCCCACAGTGTATGATAATACTGGGTATATTATTGTTGTTGTTGTGCTCATCAATAAGGCATTCACAGGTCGCCAGGCGTCATCAATGCAACTCTGATAGAGGTCTTCCCAGGACTGAAGTGGCTCTAGAAACAATGAAGGTTGCAGTTGAAAAGTCAGCAAGGATTATGATCGAGGAGTCATCAAAGATCGAGGTCGAGGTCGAGGTCGAACATCCTGACAAAGTTATAACAACTAGTTCCCATATAGGACATTAAAGAGAATATTCTAGTGGATATTCTCTGCACTTATACTATTAAGGTTTCTAGAAACATGTTCCCTATAAATAGAAAAAGACACAATGATAGGGGACACGAGATATTCATTTGTAAAGAACATATTGACTTTATAGAGAGAGTCTGATCTTATTGCATAGATACAAAAATAACTTTTTTTACCAAGATTCTTGTCTAGCTTGTCCACCGGATCCAAGAACAATCCTAGTGTTCAAAAGCTTATCAATCATTCATCACTGTCAGAAAGAATAACCACTGATTTCGCCCCTTTTCGAGTGACTCATACGTTTTATTTATCTAAATGCCATTTATTGTTATTTATTACTATTTAATGCCTTATTCCATCTTTTTGGATCATTGAATATTGCTATCATTGCTCATATTCACTGCCCTCTGGACAGAGTATACTAGTTATTTTGTCTTGACACCAATAGTTTTATCTTTTGGATATTATTTTTAACTAAGATGAACTCTTCTTTATATAAATCTAATTGATTGAGCCAAAATCTAAATTTTTTGTCAAACAGTTTGGCGCCGTCTGTGGGGATTTCTTAGTTAATTTTTTAGTTTCCTTCAGATCTACAGCTAATGTGAGTCACTAACCTCACAAACTCCAAGATCTTTCTCTTTCTTTGCACGTACAAAAATATGGTAGGTAACAAAGGAGAGAGGACCAAAGTAACAGGTGACTTCCCTAGCAACCTCATGAACGCTATCAACGAGAGTTGTGAGACATTAGGCGAGGACGTGACGCCCACTTCCTCCCTCAGGAGCGAGAGGTCGCCTCCACCCATTGTAGCATAGGAAAACCAAATGGAAAAGGGGCCTCCACGTCCATAGAAGAAGAGACGCCACTAGCCGTGAAAAAGCTCCTCGAAGCATGGCTAACTGATATGCTAATGAGCGTGCTCAACAAGCCCACTCCATGCACGACTACAGAAATGGCAAGAACCTACACAGTACAACGAGCAGACAAATAGGGTTATCGACTAGTCGCTCCAACACTAGGTATAATTCACAACGTTACTAGCGATGTAAGTGACAACACCCTCACTGTTGTTCTAAGGAGGATAGAAGAAATGGAGAATGAAAACAAAGCACCCAGGGATCAAATGAAAGAACATCAAGAACGAGTCGACAATATACCGCTCGCTCCTAAGCTATTGCCAAAGAGGGACGCCGACAGGTTCATAGAGCAGCTCGTACAGTGAAGAAGCAGCCCTGCATGCCATGGCAAAGAACTTCAAAATGCCGCCCTACCTCAGGATATACGATGGAACGACAGATCCCGAAGATCATGTGACGCATTATGTCACCGCCGTGAAAGGAAACGACCTCCCCAAGGAAGAAGTATCCTCTATTTTGCTGAAGAAGTTTGGCGAAACCCTTACGGGAGGAGCATTAACATGGTACTCACAGCTACCAGCCCGCTCTATAGAAACTTTCGAGGAAATGGCCGATAAGTTCGTAACGACGCATGTCGGAGCCAAGAAGGCCGAAACAAGAGTAAATGACATATTCGCCATCAAGCAGTACTTGGGAGAGGGGCTGAGGGACTTCATCGCCTAATTCAACAGGGTAAGGATGACCCTGCCGAACGTGTCCGAGGGGATGGCGGTCACGACTTTTCAGAACGGATTGAGTAGAGAAGGTTCGAGAGAAACTAGAAAATTGCTGAGCCGATTGATGAAATACCCTCCAACCACTTAGGACGAGATCCATAATTCCTACTGTGCCGAAGTCTGAGCAGATGAGGACGACCTCAATTGACCAACCCATCGACTCATCTCAGTACAAGCCGAGTCCAAAAAAGAGCGAAGAGACAACATCAGGAGGGATCACCTGGTCTCACGACCCAACAGGGAACGACTCCAGCCATACGTCAGGGCCCCCGTCCCACCTTCCCTCCGCTATGAAGAAGGTCCATCCAGGCCAAGGACAAGGACTTACCGGAACGAAAGAGGTATGCCCCCTTATTATCTGCTCACAATTTTTGTGTATCACATACAGAAATAGTTTATGCTCTGGAGAAACTCGGAACAAAGATGAAGTGGCCGCCAAAGATGAGGTCCGATCCGAGCACCAGAAAATCTGATGCCCTCTGCGAGTTCCACCAGGAATGCGGACATAAAACAAAATATTGCATCGCCCTTAGGCAAGAAGTTGTGAACATGTTGCGTTAGGGACACCTCAAAGAGCTGCTGAGCGACAAGGGGAGGAATAACTTCGCCAGAGGACGTGAACACCAATGTCCGCCGAAGCCACCATCACAAGCTCGTACTATCAGCATGATCATCGACGGCAACGACGACGCCTCCATCAACGGCGTCAAATTCACCACCACTCAAAAGCTCAAACAATCTATCACCTGCGAATGGTATGACAGACTCGAAGAAAGTATCATCTTCGATGAGTCAGATGCCGACAGTTTGACTTTCCTTTATAATGACACACTTGTCATTACTTTGCGCATTTTAGATACCGAATGCAAACGTATCATGGTGTACTATGAAAGTGGAGCGTGCATTATCCATCCCCGAGTCCTCACCTAGATGAGACTCGAGGAAAAGATAGTGTCGCGCTGCATCACGCTAACCAGTTTTAATAATGCAATTGAGCGGACATTGGGAGAAATTACACTCCCCGTCTTGGCCAGCGATGTGATGCTGGAGACGACATTCCACATCATGGACCAGACCATTGTGTACAACGCCATAGTAGGACGATCGTGGATACATCCCATGAAAGCCATCCCTTCCATCTTATACCAAGTAATCAATTTCCCAACACCATGCGAAATATTCAGCATACGGGGAGAACATCGCACGTCCTGCGAGTGCTACCGCATAGCCTTAGACGGAACGAAAACCCAACAGAAAGAGACAAGGAAAAAGAGGCATATCAATCAACAGGGTCGAGGTCGACATAAGAAGAGACCAGGGACGTTATCATGGATCCCGAAATGGTCGAAGCCGTGGACTAGACCGTAGAGGACCTCGACCATGTTCTATTAAATCCCAGCGACTGTAGCAAAAAGGCCTACAACGGCTTCAAATTCCAAGAACCAGGTAAATTTAGTCAATTCTTAATAACTAACGCAGACTTGTTTGCCTTCAGCCACGCAAATATGCCATGCATCCCCAAAGAGATCGCCACACACAAACTAAACGTCGACCCGTTCTACCCCAGTAAGGTAGGTGAAACGAAAATTCAATCTCACCATCAACGATGCCGTCCGCGAGGAGGTGTAGAAACTATTAAAAAATAGCTCAATCAAGGAGTGGAAGTACCCAAAATGGATCGCCAATGTAGTGATGGTCGAAAATAAAAATGGGAAATGACGGATGTGCGTGAATTTCACGGACTTGAACAAAGCATGTTTGAAAGATTCATTCCCACTGCCACATATCAACCAACTCATCGACGCAATGGCCGAGCACGAGTTGTTGAGTTTCTTGGACACGTACTCAGGCTATAACCAGATACGTATGGAAGAAGAAGACCAGGAGAAAACTACGTTCATCACCCACCAAGGAACATATTGTTATAGAGTCATGCCATTTAGGCTGAAGAACGTTGGGGCTATATATCAAAGGTTGGTCATGAGGACGTTCAAAGATCAGCTCGGCAAGACCATGGAAGTATATATCGACAACATGCTAGTCAAGTACGTAAAGGCAGGGGACCATATCAACCATTTGAAGGAAGCTTTCGACATACTAAGGCGGTACAGAATGAAACTAAACCCGGAGAAATGCGCGTTTGGAATAGCCTCTATGAAGATCTTGGGATTCTTAGTGTCACAACGGGGAATCGAGGTCAACCCAGACCAAGTCAAAGCTATCGAAGGGATACAGAAACTCCTAACTACCAAGAAGCAAGTCCAAAGGTTGACTGGTTGAATCGCTGCCTTATCGAGATTTATCTCGCGGTCGTCTGACAGATGTCACAAATTTTTCGGCATGCTAAAAAAGGACAACGTCCTTGAGTGGACACCCGAGTGCGTACAAGCTATGAAAGAACTGAAGGCATATCTGTCATCACCACCTTTGCTTTCAAAACCCGAACCCGAGGAACCCCTCCTTGTCTACCTCGCCGTCTTTGAAGTAGCAGTAAGTGTAGTCCTGATCTGAGAAAGCAAAGGTACGCAATCTCCCATCAATTACATTAGCAAAACACTCGTCAACGTCGAGACGAGGTACCCTCACCTCGAGAAACAGGCACTAGCACTAGTCATAGCTTTACGAAAGCTTGGACCTTATTTCCAGTGCCACCCTATCTCGGTAGTTACCACCTTTCTCCTAAGAGGTATTTTGCATAAACCCAAGCTATCGAGGAGGCTGACCAAGTGCGCCATTGAGCTAAGTGAGCATGATATCACATATCAGCCACGAACGGTAATAAAGTCATACGTGCTTGCCGACTTCGCCGCAGACTTCAGTGCAAAAATAATGCATGAAGTAGAGAAGGAAGCCATCCAAGCCTCTCTCCAAACACAGGAGCTCTAGGTCCTGTACACCGACGGTGCATCCAATGCCTCCGGATCCGGACTGGGACTCGTACTCGAAGTCCCTACCGGGAAAGTAATTTGCCTATCCATAAGATGCCCAGATATGACTAACAACGAGGCAGAGAATGAGGACGTAATTACAGGATTGAGGCTAGCACTCAAGTATGGGGCAAAGCGGATGAAACTCCACTGTGATTCCCAACTCGTAGTCAACCAAGTTACAAGGACTTTCCAAATCAAAGAACAAAGATTGCAAATGTACCAGACCAAGTTCTGTAAGCTGTTGCCCGAGTTCGATGAATGCCATCTCGACCAGATCCTGCGTGCGTAGAATGCTGAAGCAGACGACCTCGCCAAATTGGCCACGGCTACCAAAAGCATCATGACCGGGGATAAAAGTGTAGTTCACCTCCTCAACTCATCACTAGACCAAATTTAGGTAAGATCTGTAAGCTTAACTTGGGATTGGTGCAATCGTATTATCGCCTATTTGCAGGACGACACACTCCCAAACGATAAAAAAATCCAAGAAATTAAGAATACAAGCAGCAAAATACAATCTCCTCCATAGCGGCCTGTACAAGAGGACTTACGGCGGTCCTTTGGCAAAATATTTGGGCCCAAAACATACCTAGCGCGCCCTCGAA